GCCCGGCCCCTCCGGCATCCGGCCCTTGCTGAGCTCACCGCTGCCAGCGGTAGGGTTTGACGTGCCCGTCCGCGCCCGCAAACTGCTAGCGGAAAACTGGAGTCAAACCGCTGCACCAGATTGCCCTGCGACAAGCCTGCGCGCAATCCGGACCGGGCGCTGGAGGAGACGGGCGTCTAGTGGTAAACTTGAAACGAATTCTGCTCTATAAAACTGGTTAGGGACGGGAAAGCCGGAGTTGCTAATAGTACTTGAGGAAAACTTGGGGGATCGGCGGAAAACACTCTTGCACCACTGTGCAGCATGATGTGTCCCAGGTACGAGTCCCGCCTGGGCGTCACTTGACTAGATACCTCCGTGAAGGCTGCCCGCAGACATCAGGAGCACCCACTCAGGAGTTTATTTCGCTTGTTTTAAGCAGCAATAGCAACAGAAATACCGAATAATGCATTTACAGGGAGGACAGTTAGCACCAAGCGAGCGCTCATACAGTTCTTTAGCATTGAGCTCAGCTGCCTAAACGTTTTTAAGTTTAAGCTCTCTTTGTTTTTCAAAACGCAGTGATGGTAGCAACACTTAACAACCCTTGTACTTCAAATGGGGAGCTCCAATCAGCAGGCAAGGTGTTGCACTTTACAGAAGTCCAAACAAATTAACGATGGGATAACACCCTGTAAACAGATTGCATTGTCAATCCCATTCCTCATCTATAGGCCTGTTTTATTTTCAGAGCAGGAGGAGTAAAAATTACCCCAAACCATGCGAATTAGTCGATGGACTGTTTGGCAGCAGGTTTTTAGTAAACCTTCACTTTTCCCACCCAAATTCACATTTCCCTTTTCCTTTAAAGGGGCTTAAATCTCTCGTGTTTCCAATTTTCTTTCCACTGCTCATGTAGCTATGTGACATGAGAATGGTGCAGGCTGAAGGCACCTGCTTATCTGCACAACACAGCAGGGACCAATGACAAGGACAGCTTATTTCCACTAGTACTAGACAAATGTACTCAGGAGACAGCTGTATGTATGCCTTTTCTATTAAGAAGCCATTCCCACCTTGGCCTCCTTGCTAGGATTATCAGCTCGTTGAGGATTTTCTGATGTAAATATCTGTCTGTCCAAGAAACTAGATTGTCCATGCATTGAGAAGGGAGAGCGTACCTCTGTAACAACATTAATGACGGGTTACTATATATGTTTGCCTGCCTGTGACGGAGGGTTAGATTTTTCTTCAGAAAGCATTAGAAAGGAAAGGGGAAAGTCAGCTTAGTGTGCTCAAGACAAAGGAACCTGGAGTGGTTTGCAGGATGAGAGCCTATATTCTTCCAGTCTTGGAAAATGCTTTTAATTGCTCATGCCAACAAGAACACCTAATGCTAGATAGCTTAGAGAAGTCTGTCTTCTTAATTACACTCAGCTCATATGGTTGCAATGTATGAGTGTGTCTGTTAGTCCATCCCTCGCTACCTTCTGAAAAGTTGGTGGGATGGACGAGCGTCCCACTGGCTGGATTCAGAGTGAGCAGAGAGCTGGACAATTGCTTGTCTAAACGAAACTTAGAAATATCAAGTGCTTCTTTCACTAAACAAGCTGTTGGACTACCGAGCAGCAGGCGTTCCTACTTTCTCAAACTTCCCTCAAGTGTTGTGCTAGGCTGCTAAAGTTACATTTCACTGTGGAAGTGCACCTATACATGGTCTTACACCTGTAAGAAGTCTCTCAAAAAACCTATTTTCTTCATTTTATAGCAATAGCCTTTCCTCTTCACAGATTGGTGGAATTACCCGCGCGTCTCCACTTCCTCTTTTTGACCCAAAGTCAAATGCAACTTAATTGGTAATTGGGAGCTGGATTCTAAGAAACATATAGGTCAGGACTAGAGCAGTAAAAGTCAAAGTCACTAACTGCAAGCAGTCATTGGGAGCAGACAAACGTCTGCAGCCATCTAACATTCGGAAGCAGAGGTTTTCCTTGTATGCGATGTACATAACTTATAGCTAACAGTACTGTAAGAGCTATTGACATTTATATTTTCTAAAATATCATTAAACGAGATACATAAAACCAAGGATAAATTGTATTTTATTATTTTTATGCCCTTTCAGTGAGTTTATTTAGAGAAATACATTATCATCTGCCTTTTTGGATGCATTTGGGTAGAAGAAAATAATTGTGAACAAAACCAAGATCATAGGAAGCATCTTAGAAATACAGATTCTGTTGCAGATATTATGCATTCATTAAAAATATCATGATTTTGAAAAATTGTCTATTTGCAGCCCTGTGATCCCGTGAAATAAACTTTTGCATTGTTTGCTCTCACATATTTTTTGTGCAGTCACAGTCACCCAATGAGGCTGGGAAAAGATCACAGCCCGACAACTTATGAATTCTTATGGGTGGCACTGTCTTTTTAGGTGCATGTGCTGACTCTTGTCCAGGATTACAGCCATTACTGAAGTAAGGAAAAAACATTCTTACTACAGCTGCAGTGCTACCAGTCACTCACGTGAAGATTTTACAAAAAAAAAAAAAAACCCACCTTCTGCAATGGAGTTTTCATATTGTGCATAACCTTTGAAACCTGAACCAAAAAAATGATGATTCTTCCTTTTGCAATTTTGTTGCAAAGGATGATTCCCTTCTGTATAGCCAGGATTTGATCTAGATTTAGCCTACATAAAGATCGACCCCTCACAATTGTAAATATAAATAGGGCTAGATGCTAGGTATGCTGTCCAGTGTTCAGCATGTGAGTGAGCAGCATTTACCTTCACAGGGCTCCAGCTGAATGGAACATTACTTCACATATGTCATTGATGACATCTTGTTAGGTCAGAAATTTCTATCCGCATTGCTGCTGCAACATCTCTTGCTGGCCTAATCAGCAACTCCTCTGGAATGGATGCATTTCATTAGCAAATGAACAAATCAAACCGGAAGTCCACATTTGCTTACTCTCCTACCTCATTTGACATAGGTCATGTCACTCATAACCCATTACAGTAAGGCTGAAATGAAAAACCAACTTGGAGTTCAAACCCTGCCCCCTTGACACTGTGGCCTTTTAAGCATAAAGCCAGATGATTTAAATTGTTTCCATTTAATTCCAGTTAAACGTCAGTTGGTATTAACAGACATTTCCTTTGAGTTGTTATGAACAGGATTTGTCACAGTTAGTGGATTTTTCATTATGGAAGGTCTCACCAGAGGAAAAAAAAGTTTTATTCTGACATTTTTATTCTTCTGGATTGTTTATTCAAACCCAACAGCTTTATCCAAGAACAAAGCAAACTTTTCTGGCTGTCCAGGAGGAAAAGGTTTCAAAGTTGACAAGTCCATTGACTGCAGTGTCTCCACAAGAGTGCTGTAGAAACAAACCAAAACCAAGTATAATATGTTACTACTTGGGGAGAAATTCACCCCAAGGGGGAATTTTTTCTTCACACAGTTGTCTCTCTATTCATATGCATGCATAATCCTTTAGCCCAGAAATGAAAATAAGGACATATATTGAAAGGAAGAAGAGACCCCACAAACCAGTGGGCCCAACCATCACTGGCTCATAGGCAGCAATGCTGAGGAAAACGCACTTCAAGCCACATCACAACTTTCATAAGCAGCCTCAGCTCTAATTTTTTATCTTCGGTGGCTGCAAGCAACGTTGGGAGACTGAATAAGGTTTGAGGATCGCTGCCATAAACTGTATTAGGAAATTCATCCTATTTCAACACATAAGTAACCACTTAACACATAGCCAGAAAAGACAGCTAAATCAATCCATTAGCTTGCAATTTTCAGACTGCAAATAAGGCTGAAAAGCTAAAATACTGTTCAACAAAGAAATAAAAATCCCTTCCTACCTCTGAAGTGGTCAGAAGCACTGAGAAAATAAGTTTAAGAAACTGGCCTAATGTAAATTAATGAAAGGTCTGGTCTTTTTGGAAGGCTCTTCTGAAACAGAATCCTATTTGCAGGGCAAAGGAACAAGATGCAGACTAAATAATGTGAGGTGCATTTCCCCTACCTTCAATTTAAAGGTCATCTATTATTTATGGAGTGCCATAAATCACATTCATGAAGAGAAATGGGAAGATACAGTTGAAATAAAGGAGCATCAAATGAAACTAACAGGGCCCAGGATCAACAAACAAAAAGGCCTTTTTTTGTCTAAGTGGCATGCAGTAGATCTGTCAAACTCTGTCAAAGGATGTTGTGGATGCCGGAAGTTTGGTTAAGAGAGTAGCCTGAGTAAGTACTTGGAAGACAGATGTAATGAAAGTTACTAACCAACCAACCAACCAACATCTAATTTAGGAAAACCCTGAAGCATTAGGGTATTAGAAGGAAAGTCATAGAAGAGAGTCCCATTTCCTGTTCTTACTTTTTGCTAGGTATCTGTGTATGGCCACTGCACACACGTTACTGAGCTATATAGCCTCCTGAGTTGAATCAGTAAGGCCGTTTTCATGTTTTGTTCTAAATACTCGAGACGCATGGATATAATAAAAAATGAAGGTATCCATACAGTCATCTCTAGTGCCCCTCACAAAGAAAACCCACATAGAACTCCGTTTTTTTCATTTTACTAAGTCTGCAGGGAGCAATATATTTCTTATAGTTCATGGTTGGGAACTAGGCAGTATTATTTCTAGCTTTGAGAAAGAATTAAGAGGTGAGAAAGGGAGGGCAGAGTAAGAGAGGAGTTGTTAGGTACCCCTAGGATGCCACCTGACAGTTACCTGTCACTCAAATTCAACCATGGTTTAGACTGCTTTTTTTTTTTTTTTAAACTGGAAACATGTGACCTCAAAATAAAAGTTACATTAAAATTAATCTCAGACAAAAGGCTTGGTAGATTTGGTGGAGACAGCACCAACTGTTGATCTATCTACTATGGAAAAACATGCCTTGCAAACAAACAAAAAACTAGCTTTCCTGAAATGTCTGTCCTGCCCTTACTACTTAGGTGGGGAAGTTAATTGTGGTATTTGGTCAATGTGATTTTGTTACAGAGAAGGATGTGAATTTACTTATTACGTTCTCAATACTGTAATGACCAAGCTACGGTACTGAATACCTCTTGTTCAGTCAGGATCACCACAGCTGCTTCATACCTGCAATTACAATAGAGGACATGTCCATCTCTGTGGAGTTGCTTTGCCAATTCAAGCTGATGGTTGTTCATCAGCTTTTCGTTTATTACTACTATTAGTGGTTTTCCTTCTTCTAGCGTCTCCAAACAGCTACCTGCACCTACAGAAGAAACAAAAAACATGATCAGTGCTTTCACCTATAGATCAAACTTCATCCTACTGGCTCTTGCAACATGAGAGACTCCTGAACCTGAGTATTTAATCCATTTAACTCTAGCTGTGGACCTGAACTTTTAATGCTAACAGAGTCAGAGAATTACAGAAACGGAAGCTGCCCACGCTACCGACTTTCACATCTACCCACACGAGAACAGGCTTGGGAAACTCTCTGCACGGCACTCAGCTGCCAGTGCGCTCTACCTGCATGGCTTATGACCAGGTCTGCTCTCCGCAGGTCCTCAGCCAGCGAGTCCTTGAAGCGGAAGGCCTCTAGCGTGAAGGCCGGGGTGCTCACCGGGGCCGGCTCCTGCACCCCGTGGCCGATTTGGAGGACCAGCTTGCGGTACCCGTGACTCTGCAGCACCTGCGGCAGGAGGGAGAGCGGCAACAGTGCTCAGCAGCGAGCCGCAGAGCGGAGCACCTGTGGGGGGGCTGCCCCTGGTGGGGCCCTGGGTGGGCTGTA